ATGAAGGTTTCGGAAAACAAGCAAATCAGTTTTTTTCTTCAGCTTTTGCGTTGATTACTCTTTTCCAACTTTCTGCTGGCTATTTCTGGTTTTAGAGATTCAGAACTTGAAATTAAGAAGATTAACGATAACGAAGAAATGAAAAAATCCCAAACCAATAGCTTTAAAGACAAAAAATTTCTCAGCATCAGTTTTTTTAAGATTCTGCTGATATCATCAGCACTTAAAATGGTGATCACTTGAAAAAATGACCTTTTTTGAGCTTTTTAAAATATAGGAGTTAGGAAACTGCACTTGAATCATTGTATTTGTCTTTTTTGATGCCCTTGTATGCCGGAGTTGTGCAACCTTATTTTTTTCTGTTGGTTATTTGTGGTATGGAAACACTTGATTTTTGATACTATTAACAAAAACTAGGCAATTTTGATATTAAAATTAAGCAAGGATTTTGTGATTCTGGTTGAAAGGTTGTTGATTTAAAACATTCCATGTTCCCCATTTGAAAATGATAACTAATCACAAGCATAAATATCGATTATCGATTTGCGATTGAAAAGGCTACGATATGAAACAAAACGCTGCCTCAATCGAAAGTTAATTTTTGAATCTAACTTTGCCGAAAAAAATATAGAAAATTTATCATGTTGCATCAAAGTGGCGTATAAAGCGTCTAGTTTTTTTTTTAGTTTTTAAAATCGATTCAATCGTTTTTAAAAATCGATATCTATTCAAGCGTTTTCAAATTCGATTCAATCTTTTTGAAAAGCGATTCAACAGATTTAAAATTAAGCATATAAGAATTTTGCGTTTTAACGCAAGGATGTTTCAACTTCCTAGTAAGATCCGTGAAAAACTTCTATAACTTAAAATAATGTGTCTGGCCCTAAGATATATCCCGCGCGGAGCTTCTTGACTTATGTCACGACTTTGAAAATCGAGCACTTGCAGTTTTGCGACTGAAAATCTGCGGTCGAGAAGCAATTCTAAGTCAAGCCCAATATCAAAATAGACCCAATTTTGTTCGAAAAAGTCGAAACATATGTCGAGAAAGTCGAAACATAACCAATTTCGGTCAAGAAAGTCAAAACATATCCAATTTTGGTCGAGCAAAAACATAGGTCAAGATAGTCGAAACATACCCAGTTCTCGTCGAGAAAATCGAAACATAGGTCGAGCACAAAGTCGAAACAGGTTGGGAAAGTCAAAACATACCCAATTTTGGTCGCGAAAGTCGAAGCATAGGTCCAGCACAAAGTCAAAACATAGGTAGAAAAAGTCGAAACATACTAAATTTTGGTCGAGAAAGTCAAAACAAACGTCAAAAAAGTCAAAACACACCCAATTTCGGTCAAGAAACTCAAAACATGGGTCAATCACGGTCGAAACAAACCCGATTCCGGCCGAGAAAGGCGAAAAATATCTAAACTTGGTCGAACAAAGTCAAACACTTTTTTTGTTGGGTCGAAAAATCGAAATATACCACATTTCGGTCAAAATAGCCGAAACCATACCAAAATTCGGTCAAGAAAATTGAAACTTTTCAATATTTGGTCGAGAAAATTGAGACAACCGATTTTTGTCGAAAAAGTCAAAACATAAATCGAGCATGTCGACCCGCGATAAAGTTTCGGGTATGTATTGGCCCACCCCCCGCCTTTTTGAGAAAATTGAAAATCCTAGATTCGCCCATGGTTAGAACAATCGAAGAATTGCCCTCATGCGGAGTCTTCTCTGCGTTTCTGACGTTTTGTTTCGAGTTCAAAAAACCAAAAACAGTTTTCTAAACTATTTGTTCTAATTATAAAATAAAAGCTAGTGAGCTTGGTCAAATACCAAATCACTTTTTGAATTTCTTGTTTGTAAGAACTATTTGTTTCTCTTAAAAACATGAAAATAAAAAATTTTTCTTCCGTGCATTGAAAATGGAAAATGGGGAGGAACTTTGAATTCGGGTGTTTTAGTTTTTTCTCTTTTGCTGATACCTGATTTTATATGGAAAACAAATAATCTTCGGGCCAGAATGAGTGATACATCATATTAAAGCTCTTACAGTCGAAATTCGAAACACGTTTAAAAATTCCCAAAATTTTTCGTCAGTGTCGAGAAAAACCGGTTCGAAATTTTTTATTTTTCGTCTTATATCGAGCGAATGGAGCAAGCGATCAGGCTTACAACAAAAGCGGACAGAAGTTATGCCTAATTTAAGACCTTAAAACTTGATTTTAAGCAAGTTCAAATATTTTTTAAAGTTTTTTTTAGTTTCTTTTGGAATCAAAATCTTCAAAAAACCCAAAAATTTTCTGCAAAAAATTTTGTAAATTTTTTTAATTTTTTTTAAAAATTTTTCTAGTCAACCTTCTACAAAAATTTTTGTCCAATTTGCCTTAAAAACTTTCTAATCAATAGTTTTCTAATGATTATGGTCAGAACGTTCGTTGCTACTCTCGGATTACCCGGCTGTCATTGTTTCAAAGTGCGTTCGAAAGGATTATTTGATTAGGTTCCGTGTCTGAAGGCAAATCTGGCATGGTTGATAGGAAACGAGGTCGCAGCAGCTGGAGGTTCTTTCCCGAATCGTTGCCCGCTGATTCTGGCAACAACAGAAGACTGAACAGGGACGCTACCGTTCACTGAGAAGCTGGTCTCGAAAAAAAAATTGACTAACTTTGTATTCAAATAAGAAAAAACTCATTTTAAGATTTCAATTGATTATTTTTGTCTGAGAAATTGTGGTCGGAAACTTTTGAACATTCTAAATTTTTTCCAATTATTGAGTTATTCGAACCGGACATTTTAACTGGCAAAATTTAAAAAATGATAATCTCCTATGAGGTCGTCTTATGAAAAAAAAACACCTAACTTATTTTTAACTTTGTTGGCCTTTACGTTCATCGACGTTTACGTTCAATTTTTACGTTAATCCTATTTTTAACCATTATGTTCATCTAGGTAGTTCTTAAAACAAGATATCAGCAGTAATGTTGAACTAAAAACGTGGGTTCTGGAGAAGTTTTTATAAAAAAAAATCTCATTTCATAATTCGTTAGCCCATATGAGCAATAACTAACGCCATTTTAAAAGCCAATAAAAAACCATAAGAAAGTCAATTTCTGCAGTTTTCCCAGCATGCTTTTAAAAAACAGCTGACGTGGCATCCATTTTTACACAATTATAATATATTTTTGAAAAATTTTCAATTATCCATCGCCTAAACCGGCAAAATAGCCGACATCGCAAAATGCCTATTTTTCCAACCAAAACAAAAACTTCAAGATAAACAAACGGTGTCCTATTATTAACAGCCAATTTAACTTTGTTAAAATTACAATCTAGTCATTTTACTGCTAAACAAATTAAATCCACGACCAATTACCTCCTATTTTATAACTTTTACACCAAAATTGCTGCTGTATGAACTCCTATCACATCAAAGTTCATCCTGCAACTAACGCATACATCACAATGAAAAACTTGGTTTATCTCAATCATACATGCTAAAATGAGGCTTCACATGTTATTCAGGACTCTGATCGACGCTTGCGTAATTGTTCCGACTTTCGCAGAATGTGACAAAAAGTTTGTGATCGATCTTTTTCATCAGATAAATTTCGACTTTTTCTTAGCCTTTTTTAATGGAAGTTTTTTTTGGAAATCACCTGAAAGTTATTGTTGTCCCGAGCTCAAATTTAAAACGATATTTCACCCGTTACCATTTTTGCTAAATTTAGTCATTTTCAAAAAACAACAAAGATAACTGGAAAAATACGCTCGTGCCAACTCATAACAGTTTGACGTCATATTTCTCACAAAAATGAAATTCAGAGAATCGTTTTATGCTTTCCTCAAACTAGAAACAATTTGCATCCACTTGAAAACAAATTGTGATTGAGTCTTCTTTCGAAATCGAGTTTCATTTCAAAACAAGCCAATTTTTAAAGCGTCAGGCCACGAATTTTTTTTCAATCAAAAAAAAAATTGAAAACTGGATTTGCCAAAATACCAAACACATAAATGTCGAGCATCTGCCATTACAGAAAAAAAACGAACTGATAGAGACGGTGGAGAACAAAATCATGACATGGCAGAGAATGAAATGCACGAAACTTGATCAAGAAATTAAAATAACTCAACGAGAGGTATACACCGATTGTCGTAGCTGCCAGCGCGATCTTGCCGATAGCAAATGGTTTGGGCACTCAGTTAGCCCTTACACCTTAAGACAAAATGTTTCGAACAGACATGCGTACACGTAGCAGCTAGATGTTAATATGCCACCATCACCGTTGGACGCAATTTCAAGATTCCCGAAGCTTTTGGAAATTTTATCCGGTATGACAGTGAATCAAATGATCACGAGCAAATCATTTTAGCGGCAACTGATCACGAGCAGTCATCCCGAAACGCTCAATTTATTGGATTATTGAATGAATTTTTTGGTTGGCTGTCGGAAGCTTTAAAATTATGCCCAAATTGAACTACATTGGACAACAAATGCTGTCGAAGGATGGCGTTTTGGCATCCAATCATATTTCAGCGACGTATCACGGAATTGTATGGTGCTTAACTGTTTGGAGTTAAAAGGGTAAGAAACAAAGAAGCCAGGCAAAACAAGATATTCTCAGCCAACGATAATCGCAGAACAGCTATTTTGAAACGATAAAATTTGAATTAAGTTTAAAAAAATTGAAAACCTAATTTTTGGTTAATTCGAAAAACAAGCAAAGCAAACAGCTTGTTTGCAAAAATTATGAATTGTATTTCACGAAAAACCTTCTTTTTATGATTTAAAAAAAACGTCCAGACATTATCATTCGGAACCACGGAGCATGGTCAGATAGTCCCTAATTCCGAAGAACAAAAATAACAAGATTTGTTCAAAACAATGACACATTTGAAAATATCAAACTTGACAAAGGTATCTCAATTGAAACAGGATCCAGTTTAAAGGGGGTGGGAGTGGATTTTGCGGTGTATACAATTTGGTCAAAATAAGGTTTTTAAGTGATTTGCGAGAGCTGAGAAAACTAATTTGGTCGACCAGGGACGGCTCCAAGATTTTCTCCAGGGTGAGTCGAAATTTCAAAAAGTTTTCGAAAATAGTGTCGACCTTTTTTCCAAATTGGATTTTCGAGCTCTCCCAAAGCGCTAAAAAGACTCTGCTTTGGCCAAATTGTCTGTGCCGCAGGCAAATTTTCGAAAAAACAGGCCAAACGCCGTTTTTAGGCACTTTTAGGAATTTTTTACCAAAAAATCGCGGTTTTTAGGCACCCCCTTCAACTTAAGTACATATTGGCGCCAAAGGCGTGTTCCGAAAAGCTTTAGGGTTCGTCGGCCGAAAGTAGATATCCCAAATTAGTACAAGGGGGTCTCTTAGGGTCGACAGGGGGTCGAATCCATGTGGAAAGAGCGTAATATTCCCCGCCCCCTAAATCCGCCCCTGTGGTCGACCTTAAATAAATTTTCCAAATTTTCGAAGGTTTAATTTCGAAAATGCTAGATCCAGTTCTTGTGAACATTTTATTTAAATCGAAATAAAAAAACAACAAACAAATAATAACACGCTAGAAACAATTCAATTGGCAGTCTTAAAGTGTAATTTTTACGAAAAGTTTCACCAATTAAAAAAATAATTAAAATCACCTTTTTCTGCTAAAAACTTGAAGAGCTTTACTCAATTTTTTGACAGACGATTGCACCTTTGCCAGTTCTAACTAGAGAGTTCTACTTCTAATGCGTTCGAAATTTGATTTCAATAATACATCCACAAAACGATAAACGCAATCTGAAAGTATTAGATTAGTGAAAAAGAAGTTCGAATAGCGACACTGAGCTCAAAGAAAACAATTGAATATTTTTTTAGTAGTTTCCAAAAAAAATTGTGACCCTAAATCTCTTTGAATTTGCAAAAAAAGTTTATGGTACGAAGATGATTTTTGGTATAACTAACATACGCCAGAAAAGAGGACTAATTTTTTTATTCTACTGCAAAATCATAAAAAATGTTTACATTCATAAGAAAAGTTGCCAATGAAGCACGAATCAATTGAAAACCAAAAACTGATATTCTGAAAGTTTCCTCAGAAAACAACCAAAAAAACAACTTTGAATGTATGTCTTCACTTCGTTCATTGACACTTAAAAAAAGCAAGTCTCTTTTTTCAGTGAGAATTAGACTGCAAATTAAAGATTTCGAAACTTTCTCTTATAGATGAAAAAACGTATTGTTCTTTTCTCAATTAGCGTTCGAGAGATCTTTATCATGAATTTTTTTTTCATAAACTAGCTCAAAATCTTTAAACGAACGCAAAAAAAAGCAAAAAAGCCCGGAGTATGAATCCATCTATTTCGTTTAGCGCATTGGGAATTGAAAAAAAATTGTTCTGTTCAAAAAATGTGCATTAGAAATTCACAATACATTCACAAACGAAAACTTATCATGATTGGGCATTTTATAATTTCAGCGCAGCTGTAGCCATTTTTGAAACTCACTCAAATTCTTTGTCGCGACTCTTTCAAGTCGTCCTTGACAGACAATGGTTCCTCTAGCCAAGGAATTTCGAATAAAAAGCTCGAAAGTTTAGAAGGACGACACAAAAAAACATGAACTTTTAGATAAAAGCTATTATTTTGTTCGCGATAGACTTTTTAAAGTTTTTCACGGAAAAAATCCGAAACTTAGCACGAACTTTAAGAAGTTTTCAAAGCGTTCACAGAAAACATTTGAAAAAATGTTAATTGCTTCTTGTGAATTTTGAGCTGACTCCGCAACAAGCCAGAAACAGAATTGTTTTCGGGATCAGAAACATTGCTATTTTTCTTTGATACTCTTTGCTGTTTTAAATTCCACGGACAAATAGCCTAACCACCGTATTGCTCAAAATCGCTCCAAAAAACAGGCAACAATGTGGAATCCACAACAAAACTTGTGGAATCCGCAACAAAATTTGCCGAACCTGGAACAGTTTGTGGAATCCTCAATTAAATCAAAACATGTGTTATAGCTGTCGTGGAATCCGCAACTGTGAATGAAATCCACACATTGTAGACGGAGTCCGCAAAATGCAAACTGTAAACGGAATCCTCACTTGCGGAATTCATTTACATTTGCAGAATCCGGAACAACAACCTATATTCGCTCGTTACCGAAAAAATACCAACTTCCTCATTTCAAAGAAAAAATGATGCCCCAAAGATCTTTGAAATTACAAAAAAACTTAAAATTTACTTTTTTAGAGGAAATTAACCCAATTTGAGAAAAAAAGTCAAGAAGTGAAATCTTATCGTTGGAAAATCTGGCAAGTAACTATCAATTTGAAACAAGAAGTCAATCACGTTTTTTTCTACCTTTAAAGTTTTGAAATTTGATAGTGGAGTTTGCATTCCTTTTAACAAAAAAAGTTTTAAACTTAAAAAGAAATCAAAAATCAAAACGCGACAAAGTGAAATTTAAGATTCATCCTGAAAAACAACCGAAAAAAATCTTTACGACCATAAAAAAAATCAAAAAAACTGATTGTCAAAGTTCCAAACAATTGCCACCAACGAAAAACTTAGTGAAATAGTAAGTAAAAAGTTCAGAAAAAATTGTGAAAATTTATCAATCTAACATAACCGAAATCATCAAGCTTATCAGGTACTTTTTGCAAAAAAAAAAATTAAAAAACAGAAATTTTTTTTTGCAATGTTATAGCTAAAAAATAAATATTCCTAAAGAACGTGCAGCAGTTGGCACCTCCCTTCGAATACAGATTTTCTAAAGAAAATGCTAATTTTGTATTTAAAAAAATCGATATACTGAAAGATCAAGCTGTGTCATCATCTTGCATCAAAACCAGTTTTTATTGTTCAAATGTAACAGACACCAGCTACTTTGAGTTTCGAAGTTTTGATTCCCAAAAAGGCGCACAAAAACTACTTCACTCAAGTAAAACAAAGTTAAGATTTGACAGCTTAATTCTGTACGCCCACATTATTAGCTACAAAATTAGACCAAAAATTAAACCAAAAATCAAAAATTTAGGATCGGTTTATCTCGACACTGATAAAATTGCTTCGAAATTTTTATATGTTGATCAAATCACGACTCAAAGCGCCTTAATATAATATACCAATTGACCCATTTCGATGAAAATTTTTTTTTTCTGATAACTAATTTCGCGTGGAAACAAAACAACACCGAATACCAAGTTCCTCTATATTTTTCGAACGGTCGAAACAAAATTAAACTGAAAAAGTTAAGTTTAGTTCGCGTAATGAGCAATCACGCTGTTCGAAAGTTTGACTTTATCAATTAATGCTAAATTGTTGGGAATATAATTTCAGTCAAAGAATCTGAACGAAATGCATTTACCTAAAACTGCCTATTTCGACAATGGATTTTATTTTTCGCTCATTTCCACATGGAAAAACCAAGTCAGAAAAATTAATTATTTTAAATGGTATAAATTTTGACTGATTAAATTGCTAAAGATCACCAAAATTGTCCACAATTTGGCATATCTTATAGTTCAGTTCGCACATTGAAAAACAATGATTTTGATTAGGATACTTCGATTCAACGTTGCAGACTTAGACAAATTTAATGCTCTCATGAAAACTGGATGTTTTTGTTGAAAAAAAAAAATCAAAATTTTGGAATTTCGAATCTGATAAATTAGATGCCCTTTAAACTCTTTGAATTTCTAGAATAATTGACAATTGGCGCCACTTTGATAACATCAACTCAACTTCAGAAAACTGGGTCAATAGGTAAGACTTTTTTTTAATCTTCTAGAAATCTAAAAATTCCACTTTCGAACTAGAAATAGTTCGTTTCTTTGCGCCATTTCCAATTTCGTATTTGGAGTGCTAATTACGTAACCTTGAGCAGATGGATTCCAATTGAACTCAAATTGAACTCAGATTCCAATTGAACTCAACCAAGTGAATATATACTGAGTGCATTCATATATGCATTTATATGTATGAATGCACATCTGTAGTTAATAGAGCATTCCTGAATAAAAAAAATTACCAACACCTATCTAGGAGTTTTCACTACGTTGACTACTCCTAATTAAATAGTGAATTATTTTTGGATAAGCATCAACTTTCCAACGTCAAAAAAATCAATGGCCGCGAAGCACTTTGATACCCAGAACAATTTACGATGGACACTTTTTTGACAAAAGTAACCCAACTTGCGAAAACTGGATCAAAAGTTAACATTTTTGTTTCCGCAGAAAAATCTGAAATATAAAACCCATTTACGAAACTAGAAGATCATCACGTTTTTCGTGGCCTCCACACTTTTGCTGTTCGAGTGGGAAACAAAACTATAACCAACGACAGTTAAAAAAGTTTAAAGTGAGCCCAAAAAACTGGAAGTTTTTCAGCTTTCGAACTCACAGAAAAAAAAACAACGTTGAAACTCATATTTATTTACGATTGGCACTTTTTGCCTTAGATTATCCCATTTAGAGAAAACTTGATCAAAATAAATGAAGGCAAACTACATTATCGAACACTAAAAGCGACAAGATCACGATAAACTTGAATGATATCTAGTTTCTAATCTGGAATTCATTTTACTTCCCAGCAGAACTTAAAAATGCTTGTCGATCAAGTATTCTCTAAATGGGATAATCTAGTAATTTTAAGTTCCGCTGAAAATTCAGAAAAACACAGTCCAGTTTAGAAACTAGATGTCATTCAAGTTTATCGTGATCTTGACACTTTAGTGTTCGATAATGTAGTTTGCCTTCATTTACTTTCATCAAGTAAATGAACTGCTCTTGAAAAAATCAAAGTCAAACCGCGAAAAATCAAACTTGAGCGTGAACAGGTTTTAAGACTTTTCGTGAAAAAACTGTCAAACAAAAAACAATCACGACCTATATAACATTATTCATTACATTGATCCCGTTAGAACAATATGTATTTGCACTGATATTGCATTCGACCTAAGAGCTTTGAGGAAATATATATTTTTTATGGTATCTTAAATTAATACAAATTATATGTGCTTGACTTATCATTCTAATATATCAAACACTTAATTAGGAATGTAGAAAATTCTTGATTTGGAAATTAAGTTTAAAGGAAAAAGGTCAGATAGAAGTGTTTAACAAAGCTGGCCTCGGTTTAGAAACAAATGTAAGTGGAATTTGCTCGGAATTTAATTGTGCGCCAGGTTGGTGGAAACCGCTATCACAGATGATGTCATGTTGATCTGCTTTTACGACTGTCTCTTCGTCTGAATCAACTCTTGTGCAATTTCCAATTGCATCTGCTTCTCGAATTTGCACTAAAAACAAGATCCAATTAGGCACCAATTAAGGTGATAAACTTAAAATGATGCAAAATAAATGCAAGTAAGGGACATTAAACGGGTGTTTTCAAAATGAATGACCCCTTTTGCAAATAATAGAGAGCCCACTGTTACTCAGAATTACTTAATTGGTGGGGGGGGGGGGGCTATCGAGGGTCTCGAATCTTCCTGTCAATTTTGATTACTATTTTGCCAACATTGAGCCAAAAAATTCTTGAACATTTCAGTTTATTTTCATCATAGTTTGTTCATAATTTGCAAAGCTGCAGCTTCAAATATCAAACCGTTTTCCGAATTTATTGCATCATACTTACCTATGAAAAAGGAATAATTTCTCACAAATATTTAAAGATTCAGAATCTAGCCGACGGACAATTGAAAAAGAAAGAGTCAATGAACGCAAGGAAACAGTAAAGAATTTTTTTTGAAAAAACTTCAAGTTTTGAATTTCAAAATAAAAAAAGAAGTGGCCTTAAAACTCTTGGAATTTCAAAAAATTAGCTCATCGAAAAATCGAAAAGAGCAATGAACGCAATTAAAAAAAAACACTGACTTTCTTGAAAAAATCTCAACTTTCGAATTTCAAAGAAAAAAATAGATGCCATTTAAGCTCTTTGAATTTCTAAACAATCTATGATTGGTGCTTCTTTGATAGCATGAACCCAACTAGAAAAAACTGGATAAATAGGTAACGTTTTTATTCCACTGGAAACCTAAACAAAGCTAACGAACAAATGGAAAATAGTAATGAACGCAAGGAAACTGAAAAAACCTACTTACTTTTTCAAGACCTTTGTTCAACTTCTGAGCTTCGAAAAAAAAAGCCGTGGAAGTCTTTGAATTTATGATGGACACTTATTCGTTAAAATTAACACAATTTGAGAAAAAACTTCAATACAAAAAACTTGGATCTGACAATAAAAATCCAATTTCGAAATTAGAAGTCAATCACATTTTTCGTGACCTTTACACTTTTGCTGTTCAATAGTGGAGTTTGACTTCCTTTTAACAATGGAAATGCACTGAACTTTAAGATTAATCATCATGAAAATCGCTAAAAAATCATAACTGAGCTTACACAAATTTTAAGACTTTTTCCTGTAAAAAAATTGAAAAAATCAGCAAGACCTATATAAGAGTACCCACTACGTTCATTACTCTTAAAAAGTAAATTCCACTTTCGAAACTAGAAATAAATCACGTTTTTTCGCGCCATTACCGCTTTCGTATTTGGAGAGTGCTACTTACGTCACTTTCAGCTGATGAATTTTGATTGAACTCAAAAAGTGCATTTATACCTAATTGCATTCATAAATGCATCAATAGTATGTATGAATGCACATCTGTAGTTTAGACACTTTTGAGAGTTTTCCTGACAAAAACATAAACAAAAAAACTCGGCAAGACTTATATAAGAGATAATAGTCTTCAGTGCGTTCATTACTCTTAAACAAATTTTCCTAGCAGCACTTTATGAGAAAAATCACCCTATTTGAGAAAACTGGAATATCACGTAGAGTTTTTGATTCGCTGGGAAATCTGAAGATTTAATTCCCCTTTTGAAAACAGAAGTTGATCACGTTTTTCTAGACCTTTAAACTTTTGCTGCTCGATTGTTGAATTTACCTTATTTTTAACAAAAAACAAAAACTGAAGTTAGAAAGAAATCAAAGGTCAAACCGTGAAAAAAAAATTGAAAACAAAAACCATCATGATCTATTTAAGAGTCTAAACTACTTTAATCGAATCTTAATCCAAAGAGTTTTTACAATCGCAGACACGTTCTCCTTGACCGCTGGCTCTCGGAAAATTTTATTGAGCTAGAACTAAGCCAAACATATTTGAGTAGACGCCAAAGTGAGCCAAAATTAAATTGTTCATACGAAAAAAAAGTTGTGAAACTAAACGAGAGAAAAATGCGCCAACGCAACAATAAGTGACTGATTTGATAAACTAACCGAAAACAATTTGAACCCAATTAAAATTAAAAAGAAAAAACGACATAGTTTAGCGAGAAAGCTGCAAAAACTCAGTAACTTTCCAAATGCAAAAAAATCTGGATGTAAAAATTTGGAATGTAATAAACTAACGTTGCATTAAGAAAATTAGCAAGTATTAAACTAAATTGCGAACAAATTATGCATTTCAAAAATCTCGCGAAGTAAATCAAGTTGGAAATATTCTGAAAAGGGATTTACATTATTCTTCTGTTTTATGAAACAAATAGCTTTTTCGGTACAATTGATAAAATGAAAAAACATCAATGTGTTAGCCTATTACTAATCAAAATCCAAAGAGCTTGGCAATATACTGCTAATACAGCCAACCGATTGAAAAGTGCCGCCAAAAAAGCACTTTTATTTGCGACTGAGGTTAGAAAAATAGTTGCGTCGTACCATCACACTACGCTACGCTCGTGTAATAAATAAGTGGAATATACAGAAAGAAATCAAAATTACTTTTGATATAGAACCAAAGATGATCTTCGCACCACTTGCGATACACAATAAAGCCCCAAAGTTCGAAAGCTAATATAAAAGAAGTGAAAACAAAACTAATTCTGTTGTAAAAATAAAGAAAAATCTTATTGCACTTTTTATAGAATATTATTTCTTTAAATAAGAAGATAAGTTTTACATCGACTTTTTAAAGTTGGCTGTCGACACGCAATAACAAGTAATAATTACATACAAAATTCACATACATTCATAGTTTAGGAAAGCAGGAAACTGATTAAAGAAGAAACATTTCGTACACGAAATATCGATGACAGAAGAAGAGACTGTGCTGGCGGTAGGTACGTAGCTGCACCTCAATTCAGAGTCACCCTCCATGCCACCATTTTCGTCTAAAGTAGAATCATGCTCCAAATGGGGAAACAGTGAAGTAGGCGAATTGATGGGCGTGTTCCTCAGCTCCTTTCTCACATCAACGTTACTCGGACCATTCAAGAAGCCGTCGGTTGCTAAGTTGTCCCGACTGTCTGAGTTGCCAGATGTGAGCAGTCCAGCTGCACTAGGTCTGATGCGCAAGAAGTCTGTGGTTTGTGGAGCGGCAATAGGAGACATCGGAGATTCTAGCCTGTTGTGCGGCAGACGAGTTCCAATGTGTTGGTCACTGGTGGCTGACTGAGTTAGGAGAACGGTGATCAGCTTCAGTTCTGACATCACTTTTGTCTCCAGTCTGCCCAGCCGATTATCTAGCATGCGCATCCGCCTCTGCAGTGAATAGTGCATCGATTCACTCTCACACTCGTCGCAGCTTTCTAAGCACAATTTTATTTACGTTACGACACGTCCATCACGACAACAAAATAATACAGAAATAGTATTGTGTTTCAGCTTCCTCGGCCTCCATCCTTAGTCATGTGCTCGCAACCCACCTGAGTCCTGGGGAGGGTGATGGTTCGTGTGAGGTTCCTTTTTGTTTCCGCCGTCTTTTACCAATCTCAGATTGTATCCCGAATTTTCCAAAGGGTAGGCCGAGCAGCTCATCAATTCCAAGCTCTCGTCGTCGCTGTTTCAAAACATAGAACCGAACTTGAGGCCCGACAAAAATCTGTGCAATCATACTCTTTTAATTCCCTAAACTTGATCATAAAACCTTGTCTCTTATTAAAAACTCAATTTTGAAGAGATGCGTTTCTGCCCGTCTCTGCAAAATATCTAGTAAATGTATCTCTCTATTACCTGAACTCTGGGTCGGGATCGCAATCAGTTCCGCCTCTATTAACTACACTTCTGGATGGCCTTCTCCTATTCCGAGAACCATTCATTTCAGTTTCGTTTTTGATTGACCTTGAAAGAGCAGGCCGTGTGTTAAATTCTACTATGCCATCTGATTCCCGTGGCTTGTGGCTAATATAATTAAGACTTGGTCGACGACTGCTGTTTAGGCTTAGAGCTGCATGTGCTGTGTCACTGGGGGCATTGTAAGCCGTCAAGCTCATATTCTGTATTCTAACTGTGTCGCTTTGGCTCTGACTCACAGTATGATGGAGATGGTTATTAGAGCGGTCATTTCCTGATGTCCAATGATGACCGGCTGCCCCAATTCCCCTACCTGGAGATGAAACAACACTACCCAACCTCCTAGAGCTGCTCATTGTGTTTCTGTGCCTGTTTGCTGTGCTACCGACAGAGCGGATGCCGTAAGTCATTGGTGAATCATCCTCATCTCCATCACTGGCAAACGGAGGCTGCAAAAGTACAGGCTGCTTGTTTTCTCTTCCCATATTTAACGGAGGTGGCGACCAAGAAAGAGGTGCTCCCTGGAAGTCTTCGAACAAATCATTCAATAGAACCATGTCGTTCTAAACAAATGTTAAAACAATCAAGACAACATTTGACATAGACGCGAAGCTGAGCTTCTCACCACTTGTAATGCAACAATTATAGGGAGAGAGCTCCCTGATTAAAAAAAGAACTTCGAATTATGTTACAATTGAAGAATAAAAAGGAAAAACGAGAGATATAAAAACACAGAGGCGAGTTGCATTCCGCATACACAAGCAAAAGTATGACCGATAACGCTACTGGGAAAAACTGAATGAATAAAACTTTGAGTCTACAAAATTTCTTGAGTGACGCACGCCAATTATGACGCATAAGCTGTATCAGTCAATATGAAAAAAAATACCGACAAGCAAGCATCCATTTATAGAGCGAACGCATTTTTACTAGTATATGAAAAAAATCATTAAAAATATCCGACCTTGCCCAGGTTCGAACCCTCTTATTTTGGTTCGGGTCTCCTTCCCTACCTCTACGCTACAGATCCATGATACCTTGAAGCTAAAGTGATATTTTTAATATAATAGTCTGTGTTAATATCCTTAGCACTGGCTTTACTTAATAGCTGGTTATTGATCACAAAGAACACTTTCAAATTGAACACATTTTGTTGCATAATATTTGCGTCTCAACAATATTTGCGACGTAGGTTATAAAAAGAGAGTTCATACTACAAAACAAGCTTTGCTTGTGTAAAAACAAAAAATGCTTTTTTTCGTATTTGAATTTATTCAAGTTTTTTTTCAAAGAGGTCCTAGTGGAGTTGAATTCGGCATTCAAAAAATTGGTCCCAGAGTCTAATCGATCTCACAAGTGCTACCTGACTTTTTCATGAAACAACAATTGGTAACTAAGCCGACAGAACTGAAGCCGACATCCAATAAGCTGAAACTCGGCCGAAAATTTCGTCAAAAAATATAGGAAAAAGATTCATGTAACGCCCATACAGGATCCCCGATAATTATATATGTAGCATATGCAAATTACACTACATTACTTCGAAACTACACAGACAGAGCTTAAGTCGACAAACTTAAAGCCGAAAATTATTATCAAAACTCTATAATTATACTTACAATGATTTGAGTTCTAGACACAGCATGAGTAGTAACTATTACCCGGTAGTTAAATTTGATTTTCATAAAATTGAACAAGTCAACAGCATCATAAGAATTCAATTGATTCTGTTAAACTAGTTGTTAACCCTTAAAAACAAGTTTGTATTCTCATTTGATAAGGCTTGCTAATCGCAAGCGTAAGAATTATAAACGCCTTGAGCAAAAGAATTTAAACAGTTATTCAGTCTTCAGCCACCTTTGAACATTATTTCTTTTCTTTTGAACTGTTTATTTTTGTTCTGACCAATGGAGTAACTTCGTATTGGGGTGTGTTTTAGTTTTTTTCGTTCTTTTGTTTTCCACGCAAAACCAGGCACCACAAATAATCATCGGACTGGTTGAGTCATATATCATATTTAAGCCCTTTCAAATCGTTACCTGAACGACATAGAAAAGTTTCTAAAAAAATGCGCAGTGTCGAGAAAAAACTGTTCAAAAATTTTCTTCTAATTTTGACCAAATAAAGTGAAGATAACTTGTTTAAATGGTCATTAAAGCTAAAATCTACCGAATTTTTCCCAACAGAAACTAGTTTCGAAAGCTATAAGTGGCACACCCCTGGCAAGAAAAATAGTTGAAAAGAGAAAAAACGAACTTTTTCATTTCTTTGCTTGATTTTTTTTTCAAGAAAACTGCTGTCAATTAAACCTAATTTACTAAAACTTTTTTTATTTGCGTGTATAGTTTTATCATCACATTATCAATTAGCCTAATTGTTGTGATAAACTTATTAAATAGTTTTTCAGAGTATGGCCAATTCGGAGAGTTGAGTGCCCGTGGTCACTCTCGACGTTTACCATCGACGAAGAACTACTACCCAACTATAGAAGAACTGCTCGAGGCTGACAACGATGATGTGACAAGAGTATTCAACGACATGACGAAGACAAGTCTCATGTGTATCGGTCGCGAAATTCTATCACAAGTTTGAAGCCAGAAGAACCTAGTCAAATCATTGGATTCAGTCGAAAGTACAATTCAGAGAGCAGTGGAAAACACTTTGAAAGAAGAATTGGCTCCCCTGAAAAATGTTCCCCCAAGACTCGCAAAAGAAGAAACTGAGAAATCTACACAGAGAGTCGAGAGACCTACTGCTACATCAAAGGCCAATCTTGGAATTCGAGTTCGTGGTATACCTGAACCTCAAAGTGAAGACATGCCGGAAAAACTTGAGAGTGACAAAAATTCGGTATTATCACTTTTGAATCATTTAGATGTAAAAGCTAAGTTGAAGGACGTTCGAAGAGTGGGAAAATTTGTTGAAAATAAACACCGCACCATCATATTTTATGTTGAAAACCCATGGGATAAACGGTTGATCTTAGCCTCATTATCGAAATTGAAAACTTACGACTCCAGTAAAAAACTCTCAGTCTCACAGGAACTTACTGAAAACGAACTCAAAGCCGAAATAGCTCTGAAAAAACGATATGGTCTAATGCAAGCCGGCGTCAGCAAATCAGAGCTGAGAATCAAAAACCTCCTTCTCTCCAAAAAAGAAAAAAAAGAAGATGGTGATGTCTGGATACCAGTATGACTAGACCATGCTAACAAATCAATGGCTAAAATAATGTTTGTAAACGCTCGATCTCTCAAAAAACCGGGTGCCACAAGTGATTTACTAGCAGATATTCTAGAAAACAATATTCAACTTTGCTGTGTCACCGAAACCTGGTTCAACTCAGAGTTTCCCTCAAGTAATTTTTTTATCCCCAACTACAACCTCATAAGGCACGATAGAACACCTTCCAACTCCGACAAAAAAACAGGTGGTGGAGTCTGCATCTATCACCATGAAGATATTGAAATTCAACCTATCAATGTATCTAGATGTCAACAGTTTGAGATCCTATGGACAAAAATTACAGCTCCAACCAAGCTCATATTGGTTGTTCTGTATTACCCACCATGCTTAAATAAACAAAAAGACTATGTTGATTACCTCGCCAGCACTGCAGAAGACCTCATGCTCACCCATCCGAATTATGAACTAATGATTGGAGGAGACTTCAATGACTTGTCCACAGTCGAACTCACAAGCTGTATTCACGTATCCAACTGCCTCGATGCTCCCACCTGCGGAAAGAGTCAACTCGATTTTGTTCTATGCTCGAACCCTAGTCACTTTGAATTTCACACCACAGACTCGAACGTCAAAACTGACCATAAAGCAATATTGGTTTCACCTAAATGCCCCACCCCATCAATCAAACGTCTCCATTATTTTCGCGATCAAAGATACCAGAACGTGTTCAATTTCAACAATCAACTCAGTTATGAAGATTTTACATATGTTTACACGACCTCAGATCCTGACGTCGCAATGATGGGTCTCCTGGACCATCTAAAGGGAGTTCTCGACCTCAACTGCCCCCTCAAAAAAGTGAAACTCTCAAATAAAGATCCTCATTACATTACTCCTCTAGTTAAACACTTGCTGAAAAAACGTAACCAACTGAACAGGAAGCGAAATCATCGACAAGTCTCTCTCCTGACTGACCAAATTCGAAATCTGATAAAAGACAACATGCTTAAGGGATCTGGAAGGCGAGGTACTCAGAAGTGGTGGAATGTAGTGAATCAGCACACTGGACGAAAACAAAATAGCACCACCCAAATACCGTTCACCCCAGATGAAATTTGCAATTTCTTCACTGATATATCAACTCAACATGGCCCAATAAACTTACCACCTCATGAAGTAGTCGGCGACTCACCAATCCCAGAGCTTTCCCTTCACCAGATCTACTACTCTTTGCTTGGCCTAAAGAAAACAGCGGTCGGATACGATCAACTTCCCACATGGGTTTTCAAAGATAATGCGCATATTCTAGCCGAACCCATTCATTCGATTTATAACAGATGTCTAGCATCATCCTCATTCCCTAACAGTCTGAAACGTTCTCGGATAATTCCGGTCCCAAAAAGTGCTAAAGTAAATGACTTGAATAATCTCCGCCCTATACCAGTGACCCCAGTAATTGCGAGACATTTCGAGCGACTAGTTTACGACAATTTCCTTAAAGAACCCTACAATCGATGGTTATCGAGAAATCAGTGTGGTTTTCGCCAAGGAGGCTCCACTGAGTTTGCCCTTCTGAAGATCCTGGATACCTGCAAAAATCTAGACACTAGTGATCATGATTATATCAAGCTGATTTTTTTAGATCTGAGCAAAGCGTTCGACAGAGTACAACATGAGCTTGTCCTAACCCAGCTCAAAAAAATATCTGGTTTGAGTCCCTTCATAATAAACTTCATTCGAAGCTTTATAACTGAAAGAAGTCAATTCGTTTGCGTGGCTGGAAGGTCATCGGACTTGATGTCACCCAATTAAGGCGTCCCGCAGGGTACAATCATGGGCCCACCCTGTTTCAATCTAGCATACGACGACTTGAAAATTGATGAAGACGTGAACTATCACTCGGAATGCCAAATGATCAAGTTTGCCGATGACAATAATCCAATAATTGGGGTCAAAAATGGTCGTCATTGCACTGAAGAAACCTTACGTATGATATATGAATGGTGTGAATCGAATAACTTTCTCCTTAATTGTTCTAAAACCAAACAGCTCACAATTAAACTCAAGAGTACCATCCAACCAATTCCAACTTCTATTGAGAATCAAGAAAGTTTCAAGATTCTTGGTGTATTTTTTGACACCCACTTGACCTTTGAGACACATGTCAACTTTATCTGCAAAAAAGTGTGCTCAGACCTTTATCTACTCAACAAACTCAAGCAAATTGGATATAAATACCATGACCTCAATCTGTTATTAAACTCCCTGGTTCTCCCCAAGCTCACCTATTGTTGCACGGTATGGGGCGGTTGCTCCGCTTCTTTGCTCGGAAAAATCGACAGACTACAAAAGCGAGCGAAAAGAATGGGATTCACCACAAACTATATCCCTATCAAAGAAGTAATCGCTTCGAAAGACAAAGCTCTACCACAAAATCCTCACAGAACCCCATCATTTGTTATTTGATATCATTCCCACACGCGAAGAGTATTCTATGCAGAGATTAAGAAACCGAGCGCCAGGCTCCTACAAACTTTCTCGGAAGTTCAACAACACCTTTCCGAACCGGTTACTCAGATTGTGCCAAACGAACTTATGATTTATCTATGAACTCATTTTCTGTTCGTTTGTTCTTTTTCTCAGGTTTTTCAGATGTATTTCTGATATCACAATTAAAACTTTTCTTCTTCTTCTTCTTCTATCAACAAAAAACGACACCAATTTTAAAAAACATTAATTTTTAGTTTTTACGAATATGTTAGAAACATTCTGCGCTACTCGCACAGCAACAGACTATCCTTAACTCAGTTACTTGATCCATACTTATGTACAAAAACATTTGAGTGAAAAAAAAACCGAGTTTTTAAGCTCAGTTTGTAAACCTGCTGAAAGTTACACGTTAGTTGGATGAAATTAGAACAACTGTTGCTTTCTTATTAGGCCGCAACACGTATTTTCGACTGAACTAAAAGGTAGCTGGTTCAAATTTGCCACTATTTTCCCAAAAAAAAGACACAGACCTTCCTAGAAGGGTTTAAAAATTGAACATTGAAAAAGTTAAAAAGCAAAAAGAGAACTGAAAAAAAAAGGTTGAAAAATGTTGAACTTTTTCAAAATTCGGTCTTCGAAAAAAAGTTTCACAGAGGCAAAGCTGAGCTTCGCATCTCTTGCAAAAAAAAAACCAGAAAGCCGCTAAGTCGGAAAGGAGGGTAACTTTTTATAAACAGTGAAAAATTTCCGAAAAAACGGTCAAAGTTTCAAAAACTTGACTTTATCCTGAGACTCTCACAACGTCGCTAATTCGAAGGAAATGGTTGGAACTTTTTACTCTGATAAAAATGAAAAACTAACTTATAAATACGATAAATCACACCCGCATTAAAATGCTCAAATCTTTGACCAGGGTCTCAACATCCAATTTGAAAAAAAACTGACGATAACAAATCAAACTTGGTAAAAGATATTTTCAAGTGATGAATTATGAATTAGTTCAAGAAATCAATGAAAGATAAAGATAACAATAAGAAACCACCTTTCAAAATATGTAGGCCCTGGTAATAGATCTCAGAAAAAGCAGTTGTTTCCAGGTACGTTTGCTGTTTTAAAAAACGGGTTTATGCCTTTTTCTGCAACTAAATCATAAAAGAAATGTAATTGTACTGTGCAGTAATTAGTCTTTCCGTAGATCAATGAACATTAATTGAGGCATAAGTAGCCTTAAAGTCTGACACAATTCTGAAAACCTATTAGATTTTATGCCAAAGTCACCAAGATACCCAAGTACAAGAGCTTTCTCTTTTACTCTTTGTTCTACGGCACTTTTTTAGCTGTGCAATTTTTTCGTCATTCAGATTTCGGAGAAAATAATACCCAGAGGCGAAGCAGAGCTTCGTAATACTTGCAATACAAAAATAGAAAGCCGCAAAGTCTGAATAAAATCTCGCCACCTGTTTCTTCGACTGCACTCCTAATCCAGATTTGGCGAAAGGCTAAAGCTTTTTCAAGAAAAAATAAGGGTGTACCAGCTTATCAAATAGAAACTCCGAGAGCTTATTCCAATTGAAATTATTAAAGGGTAATTTTTTGAGAACAGTCAAAAATTTCCGAAAAAAAACAATCAATCTTTCAAAAACTTTTAATTTTCCCTCGGCTTTTCACAACAAACCGCGAATACGAGAAGAACTGTCAAAACCCTCTTTTCCGATTAATTTGAAAAAGTAACTATATAAACGATATATCAAATCTTCGACCAGGGTCTCAACATCTAAAAAACTGGTAATAACAAACCTAACTTAGGAAGCGATATTTTCAAGTGAACTGAATTGGTTCAAGAAAACAAGGTATGATAAAATAACAAAAAGAAACCGCCTTTCAAATTATATTGGGCCTAGAAAAAGATCTCATAAAAAGCTGTTGCCTCCAGGTACGATTGCTGTTTTAAAAAACGGATTTATGCCTTTTTTCTTCAACTAAAACAAAGAAAAAGAAATTGTAATGTGCAGTAACTAGTCTTTCCGTAGATCATTGAATATTAATTGGAGCATAAGCCGCCTTAAAGTCTAGAGACAATTCTGGAAATCTACTATCAAAATTCAGATAAAAAATACCCAGAGGCGAGGCTGAGCTTCACACCACTTGCAATACAAAACCAGAAAGACGCCTAAGTAAAAAAAATACAAAAAACCTCGCTACGTTTTTCTTCGACTGAACTCCCGATCTCAGATTTGGCCGAAGGCTATAGCTATTTTCTACATAAAAAGGGCACACGAGCTTATCCAGCGAAGAACTGAACTATTGACAGTTTTTTCGGAAGTTTTCGACTGTTCAAAAAATTACCCCTCCAATTTGAATTTGAAAATTTCGAAAACTTTGACTTTTCCCTGGGCTTTTTACAACAAACGTCGCTAATGCGGGAAGAATTGTCGAAACCCTTTATTCCGATGAAATTGAAAAACTTATATATGCGACAAATCACGCCCGCATTAATTTGCTCAAATCTCAAATCTTCGACCAGGGTCTCAACATCTGACTTGAAAAAAAAAACGGTAATAACAAACCAATTTTCGGAGACAATTTCAAGTGAACTGCATTAGTTCAAGAAAACAACAAGAGATAAAATTAACAAAAAGAAACCGTCTTTTAAATTATATAAGGCCTAGAAAAAGACCTCACAAGAAGCAGTTGTCTCCAGGTAAGTTTGCTGTTTTAAAAAAGGGTTCATGCCTTTTTTCTTCACCTAAATCATAAAGGAAAAGAAATTGTATTGTGCAGTAACTAGTCTTTCCGTAGATCATTGAATATTAATTGGGGCATAAGCCGCCTTAAAGTCTAGAGACAATTCTGAAAATCTACTAGATTTTATGCCAAAGTGAACAAGATACCCAAGTAAAAGAGCTTGCTTTTTTACACTTTGTGCTACAGCACTTTGTTGGCTGTGGAACTTTTTCAAAATTCAGATTAAAATACCCAGAGGCGAGGCTGAGCTTCACACCACTTGCAATACAAAACCAGAAAGACGCCTAAATAAAAAATATTGAGAAAACCTCGCTACGTTTTTCTTCGACTGAACTCCCGATCTCAGATTTCGCCGAAGGCTATAGCTATTTTCTACATAAAGAAGGGCACACGAGCTTATCCAGCGAAGAATTGAACTATTGACAGTTTTTTCGGAAGTTTTTGACTGTTCAAAAAATTACCCCTCCAATTTGAATTTGAAAGTTTTGAAAACTTTGACTTTTCCCTGGGCTTTTTACAACAAACGTCGCTTATGCGGCTCGAATTGTCGAAACCCTTTATTCCGATGAAATTGAAAAACTAACTTATATATGCGACAAATCACGCCCGCATTAATTTGCTCAAATCTCAAATCTTCGACCAGGGTCTCAACATCTGACTTGAAAAAAAAACCGGTAATAACAAACCAATTTTCGGAGACATTTTCAAGTGAACTGCATTAGTTCAAGAAAACAACAAGAGATAAAATTAACAAAAGAAACCGTCTTTTAAATTATATAAGGCCTAGAAAAAGACCTCACAAGAAGCAGTTGTCTCCAGGTACGTTTGCTGTTTTAAAAAAGGGTTCATGCCTTTTTTCTTCAACTAACATAGCGGAAAAATAATTGTATTGTGCAGTACTTAGTCTCTCCGTAGATCATTGAATATTAGTTGGGGAAAAAACAGACTTATTATCTACAAACACTTCTGAAAGCCTATTAGATTTTATGTCGAAGTCACTAATACTCCCAAGTAAAAGAGCTCTATTTTACTGTTTGTACTACAGCACTCCTTTTTGTCCGTGGAATTTGATACACAGCGGTGGTCTACCATACTAACTTATAACGCATGATTTGAAACTAACTTTAAGTAACACCCTGCAGTACTTCTCCTTTAGTCTTACTTTTCAGTCTAGTCGGCATCTGAATAGCTAACAAGTATCAAAACCTTGAACGTTTCAGTTCCTAGTAGATAATCGAGTGTTTTTCTTTTAATCAGTTATCAAACATTTTTAACCAGGGTTTTTTTTAAAAAAAAAACTTACGAGATTGGCTGCAAAGCGCTTATCTGACGTACAAGACAGAGCTAAATAGCTGAAACAGCAAACAAGTCCCGTAGTCCACCACATTTTATATTTCGTTCCTCTGTGCAATACTCAAGGGCTCAGTCATTAGTTGTTTCAATATGGGAGTAGACATCGGCGTCGCTTCAGTAATCTCAAATCTTTATAACAATTTAACCAATCACTTTTCCGGGTTATTCTGATTTCAAAGTCAACAAACATAGCGAATCGAAGATTGAAAAAAGTAATGAACGCAATTGAACATAAAAAAAACATTGCTTTCGAAGAAAAAAAAAATAGATGCCCTTTAAGCTCATTAGGATGCGGATGCCGTAAGTCATTGGTGAATCATCCTCATCTCCATCACTGGCAAACGGAGGCTGAAAAAGTACAGGCTGCTTGTTTTCTTTTCCCATATTTAACGAAGGTGGCGACCAAGAAAGAGGGGCTCCCTGGAAGTCTTCGAACAAATCATTCAACAGAACCATGTCGTTCTAAACAAATGTTAAAACAATCAAGACAACATTTGACATAAACGCGAAGCTGAGTTTCTCACCACTTGTAATTCAACAATTATAGGGAGAGAGCTCCCTGATTAAAAAAAGAACTTCGAATTATGTTACAATTGAAGAATAAAAAGGAAAAACGAGAGATATAAAAACAGAGGCGAGTTGCATTCCGCATACACAAGCAAAAGTATGACCGATAACGCTACTGGGAAAAACTGAATGAATAAAACTTTGAGTCTACAAAATTTCTTGAGTGACGCACGCCAATTATGACGCATTAGCTGTATCAGTCAATATGAAAAAAAATACCACTCAGTAAGCATCCATTTATAGAGCGAACGCATTTTAACTAGTATATGAAAAAGTTCATTAAAAATATCCGACCTTGCCCAGGTTCAAACCCTCTTATTTTGTTTCGGGTCTCCTTCCCTACCTCTACGCTACAGATCCATGATACCTTGAAGGTAAAGTCCTATTTTTAATATAATAGTCTGTGTTAATATCCTTAGCATTGGCTTCACTTAATAGACATTATTGCGACATAGGTCAAAAAAAGAGAGTTCATACTACAAAACAAGCTTTGCATGTGTAAAAACAAAATATGATTTTTTTTCGTATTTGATTTTATTCAAGTTTTTTTCGAAGAGGTCCTAGCGGATTTGAATTCGGCATTCAAAAAATTGTTCCAATAAGCTGAAATTCGGCCAAAAATTTCGTCAAAAAATATAGGAAAAAGATTTATGTAACGCCCATACAGGATCCCCGATAGCTATATATGTAGCATATGCAAATTACACTACATTATTTCGAAACTACACAGACAAACTTAAAGCCGAAAATTAATATCAAAACTCTATAATTATACTTACAATGATCTGAGTTCTAGACACAGCATGAGTAGTAACTAGTAACCGGTAGTTAAATTTGATTTTCATAAAATTGAACAAGTCAACAGCATCATAAGAATTCAAGTGATTTTGTTAAACTAGTTGTTAACCCTTTTGTAAAAAAAAAACTTACGAGATTGGCTGCAAAGCGCTTATCTTACGTACATGACATAGCTAAATAGCTGAAACTGCAAACAAGTCCCGTAGTCCACCACATTTTATATTTCGTTCCTCTGTGCAATACTCAGTCATTGGAATTTGCCCGTGGAAAGATCCCTTTATGCTTTCTTATTAGGCCGCAACACGTATTTTCGACTGAACTATAAGGTAGCTGGTTCAAATTTGCCACTATTTTCCCAAAAAAGACACAGACCTTCCTAGAAGGGTGTAAAAATTGAATATTGAAAAAGTTAAAAAGCACAAAGAGAACTAAAAAAATTAGGTTGAAAAATGTTGAACTTTTTCAAAAATCGGACTTCGAAAAAAAAGTTTCACAGAGGCAAAGCTGAGCTTCGCATCTCTTGCAAAAAAACCAGAAAGCCGCTAAGTCGGAAAGGAGGGTAACTTTTTAGAAAAGGTCAAAAATTTCCGAAAAAAAGTCAAAGTTTCAAAAACTTGACTTTTCCCTGAGACTTTCACAATGTCGCTAATGCGGGGGAAATGGTTGAAACTTTTTACTCTGATAAAAATGAAAAACTAACTTATAAATACGATAAATCAGACCCGCATTAAATTGCTCAAATCTTTGACCGGGGTCTCAACATCCAATTTGAAAAAAAACTGACGATAACAAATCAAACTTGGTAAAAGATATTTTCAAGTGATGAATTATGCATTAGTTCAAGAAATCAATGAAAGATAAAGATAACAATAAGAAACCGCCTTTCAAAATAGGTAGGCCCTGGTAATAGATCTCAGAAAAAGCAGTTGTCTCCAGATACGTTTGCTGTTTTAAAAAAACGGGTTTATGCCTTTTTCTGCAACTAAATTATAAAAGAAATGTAATTGTATTGTGCAGTAATTAGTCTTTCCGTAGATCAATGAACATTAATTGAGGCATAAGTGGCCTTAAAGTCTGAGACAATTCTGAAAACCTATTAGACTTTATGCCAAATTCACCAAGATACCCAAGTACAAGAGCTTTCTCTTTTACTGTTTGTACTACAGCACTTTTTTAGCTGTGCAACTTTTTCGTCATTCAGATTTTGGAGAAAAAAATACCCAGAGGCGAAGCAGAGCTTCGCAATACTTGCAATACAAAAACAGAAAGCCGCAAAGTCTGAATAAAATCTCGCCACCTGTTTCTTCGACTGCACTCCTAATCTAGATTTGGCGAAAGGCTAAAGCTTTTTCTACAAAAAATAAGGGTGTACCAGCTTATCAGATAGAAACTCCGAGAGCTTATTCCAATTGAAATTAGTAGGGTTATTTTTTGAGAACAGTCAAAAATTTCCGAAAAAAAACAATCAATCTTTCAAAAACTTTCAATTTTCCCTCGGCTTTTCACAACAAACCTCGCAAATTCGAGAAGAACTGTCAAAACCCTTTATTCCGATTAATTTGAAAAAGTAACTATATATACGATATATCAAATCTTCGACCAGGGTCTCAACATCTAAAAAAACTGGTAATAACAAACCTAACTTAGGAAGCGATATTTTCAAGTGAACTGAATTGGTTCAAGAAAACAAGGTATGATACAATAACAAAAAGAAACCGCCTTTCAAATTATATTGGGCCTAGAAAAAGATCTCATAAAAAGCTGTTGCCTCCAGGTACGATTGCTGTTTTAAAAAACGGGTTTATGCCTTTTTTCTTCAACTAAATCATAAAGGAAAAGAAATTGTATTGTGCAGTAACTAGTCTTTCCGTAGATCATTGAATATTAATTGGGGCATAAGCCGCCTTAAAGTCTAGAGACAATTCTGAAAATCTACTAGATTTTATGCCAAAGTGAACAAGATACCCAAGTAAAAGAGCTTGCTTTTTTACACTTTGTGCTACAGCACTTTGTTGGCTGTGGAACTTTTTCAAAATTCAGATAAAAATACCCAGAGGCGAGGCTGCGCTTCACACCACTTGCAATACAAAACCAGAAAGACGCCTAAATAAAAAATATTCAGAAAACCTCGCTACGTTTTTCTTCGACTGAACTCCCGATCTCAGATTTCGCCGAAGGCTATAGCTATTTTCTACATAAAGAAGGGCACACGAGCTTATCCAGCGAAGAATTGAACTATTGACAGTTTTTTCGGAAGTTTTTGACTGTTCAAAAAATTACCCCTCCAATTTGAATTTGAAAGTTTCGAAAACTTTGACTTTTCCCTGGGCTTTTTACAACAAACGTCGCTTATGCGGCTCGAATTGTCGAAACCCTTTATTCCGATGAAATTGAAAAACTAACTTATATATGCGACAAATCACGCCCGCATTAATTTGCTCAAATCTCAAATCTTCGACCAGGGTCTCAACATCTGACTTGAAAAAAAAACCGATAATAACAAACCAATTTTCGGAGACATTTTCAAGTGAACTGCATTAGTTCCAGAAAACAACAAGAGATAAAATTAACAAAAAGAAACCGTCTTTTAAATTATATAAGGCCTAGAAAAAGACCTCACAAGAAGCAGTTGTCTCCAGGTACGTTTGCTGTTTTAAAAAAGGGTTCATGCCTTTTTTCTTCAACTAACTCATAGCGGAAAAATAATTGTATTGTGCAGTACTTAGTCTCTCTGTAGATCATTGAATATTAGTTGGGGAAAAAGCAGCCTTATTATCTACAGACACTTCTAATACTCCCAAGTAAAAGAGCTCTCTTTTACTCTTTGTACTACAGCACTCTTTTTGCCCGTGGAATTTGATACACAGCGGTGGTCTACCATACTAACTTATAACGCATGATTTGAAACTAACTTTAAGTAACACCCTGCAGTACTTCTCCTTTTGTCTTATTTTCCAGCCTAGTCGGCATCTGAATAGCTAACAAGTATCAAAACCTTGAACGTTTCAGTTCCTAGTAGATAAATGAGTGTTTTTCTTTTAATCAGTGATCAAACATTTTTAACCAGGGTTTTTGTAAAAAAAAACTTACGAGATTGGCTGCAAAGCGCTTATTTGACGTACATGACAGAGCTGAATAGTTGAAACAGCAAACAAGTCCCGTAGTCCACCCCATTTTATATTTCGTTCCTCTGTGCAATACTCAAGGGCTCAGTCATTAGTTGTTTCAATATGGGAGTAGACATCGGCGTCGCTTCAGTAATCTCAAATCTTTATAACAATTTAACCATTTACTTTTCCGAGTTATTCTGATTTCAAAGTCAACAAACATAGCGAATCGAAGATTGGAAAAGAGTAATGAACGCAATTGAACATAAAAAAAACACTGCTTTCGAAGAAAAAAAAATAGATGCCCTTGAAGCTCTTTGAATTACTAGAACAATTTACACTGCTTTAAATTTTAACTGGATCAAGTTTTTATTCCGCTGGGAAATCTTAAAAATAAATTCCACTTTCGAAACTAGTAATCGTTCACGTTTTTTGCGCCATTTCCACGTTCGTATTTGGAGAGTGCTATTTACGTCATTTTCAGCAGATGAAATTCAATTGAACTCAAAAAGTGCGTCATATTTAAGACTTTTTCCTGAAAAAAAAAACAAAAAAAAATCAGCAAGACCTATATAAGAGTCTTCACTACGTTCATTACTCTTAATCAAGTTTATTTCCTACGAAGCACCCAAGATCACTTTTTCAAACGTTTCAGAACTTTAGTTTTCTAACAAGCTGCAAACACGTTTTGCTGCTCCACAGGCAACTGTATTGCGTGCAAAATAAACCATCTACTTGCCCTTCTTTTATCTTGATAAACCAGCACTCATATACAACTTTAGAGTCCAATCCCAACACCTCTAGCCCGATCCGATTGAGCCAACCACAATTTCCGAAACACTAACTTGAGATTATGAAGAGTAAGAAAAATTATTTTCTCATCGATACCTTTATTCATGACAAAAAAAGATAGAAGAAAACGAAGAAAAATACTGAAAAAGAAAAATGAAAGAAAAATTCGTTGCGATATGTTTATGGCAAATGTATTACAGCACTGCGTTTTACATGCAATTTGCTGAATGACTGCTGTGCATTTCCATGCCCATGTTTCACAAAATTCAAAAGACCAAAAAACCTAAACTCATGCAAAGAATACGTCTGAAACACGATTGTCGTAGCCCTCCTGGTTCAAACGCATAAACTCAACAATTTAACTTAGCAGATACCACCTCCACGTAAGACTTAAGGTTCCGCAACTTGAAATACACTCTTCCCGGAGATTATGGGCAATGGTCAAAAACAGAATATCCAAAAGGAATGAATTGTCAAGACCACATCCAAATCAGAATTTTTGGACGAAAATTGATTGAAAAACATTGCCTCTATAATTAAAAAAGCTCTGTTTTACACTTTTAAAACTGGCAATTCTTATCAAATTGAGATTTTCATTAAATATGTTTTAAGAAAACTTCCAAACTGAAAAACATTATTCAAAAAATGTTCGAAAAGCAGTACAGCAAAGGATCTCAGAATGAACTTTGAAAACTCGTAGACAAAAAGCTTACATTACAAACTTTGTTGAAAAAAATCATCGTACGCTGCTGTAACTCCATTACACAAAAAAACGCTGCATCTTCTGTATCATTAGCAGAGGCATCAATTGACTATAGCTGATGCAACAAAAAACGAAAATTTCATGATGCATATTTCGTGCTAAAATTGACATACAGTATTCATTGACACAGAGGCGATGCTTCGCTCCGCAAACAAGAGCGGAAACACGACAAAAAAAACAGCTCTATAAAGTGCATTAGGAAAAAGTAGAAATCAGACTCGAATTAGTAAAAAAAAACTTGCTATGTCTCGGATTCGATCTGTGCCCTACTGCGACCTAAAGAAAATGAGTCTCACCTAGTAACCACTCAGCGACGAACGCTCAAAATTTCACAAAAATTAGCCACGAAAAAGCACAGATGCTATGAAAAGTCCAATGCTAGTTCGTGATTATAGCAAAAGGGCCGACAAAAAAGTGAACACTTCCCACTTTCCATGGACACTTTTATTTGCGAGTTGCCTTCGAAAAAAAAGAAGATTCGTACAAATAAACAACGCTGATCGTAGTGTAAATATCAACTTTGGAACATAATGACGCGTTCCAAACCCTCATTTTTTTGTAAGTTAATCTAATACATTTTTTTAGATTACGATTTTTTTGCAGTAGCACGATGGCTCTCAGCAAATAAACTACCCCTAAACAAGGAGAAAAAAACCATAATTAAATGTAGCAAAAAGAAGCGCTTCTACCAATATCATCTCTTTTCAAAATCGAAAATGGTCCTCGGAGTTGTCATGAAAATATTTGGGAGATCATAATTTGAATTTTAATGTACACATTGACTATGTCAGGACAAAAATGCGCAAACAGTGTGGAATAGTCGCAAAAATTAGGCATTATGTGCCCTCTAGTGTGCTTTTTCTTTATGATGGATCAAACATTAGATCAATCATACCATATGGTATTCTGGTTTACGGATGTGAAAATTTAACCAAAAATAACTTTACAAAAGAAAACTTTAAGGCGGATGTTTCTAGCAAAATCCACGACAGTATTTCAGACGTTTTCGCCGCAACAAAAATCTTTACAGTACATGAGTTGTACATAAATGAGCTACTAAAATTTTATATATGATCTTTATCCGGTCATTACACCGAAAAATGTCGAAACGATGTATTTTGTTTCGATTATCACAGCAGAACTACTAGTAGATCGATTGAAAACTTTTTGAAAACAAGGAAAATCAAGTCAAAAACTCAAAACTATTCATTGGTATATTGAGGATCTAAACTCTTTAATATATTTCATGCAAAAAATTTGATTCCAATTGAATGTCACTAGTTAAATGTCTCGCAAGTGAGTAATTACGTTCATAGAAAGAAACCCCTTTATATTCTGGGGAATTATGGTTTGACCAACAGAAGTTTCAAAAATCCATTGTATGAATAATTGTTTTCATCCTCAATTCTTTATCCAAATTTTCCCACATTTTAACCTGCCAACCTTTTTCTCTACGGGGAATTTAGAACTAATTCGATTGCTACTCCGAGAGGTCCGGCAGCCGGTGCCTTTTTACGTTCTACTAGTCAAAATGTGTTGATTTGAATGATTTGGATAAGCGGCAAATTGAACATCACAGCCTGAAATTATATGATCAACCATCCTGAGGCCATGACCTGATGATATGATCAAACATCTTGCTAAACTTGTGCTAAAATAAAAGCAATATTTTGAAATATGAATTTTCTAACCCTACTGTTTAAAAACTATTGTGAAAAAAGGTTCAATAAACATGTATATTTGATGTGTCGTTCGTTGCGGTTGAGCTGGGAAATGACCATTTGTTATGGGGTTTTGATGATACCAAATGACTGCCTTAAAAGATTTCAAACCCGGTGGTGCCTTAATAAAATAATGAAAGCTTAAAATCATAATCAGGAAGCAATTTCACGTGTTAATTATCGTGGTTGTCTATGCTACAATTGTACATAGTGCTAAGAAACGTTAGGGTACTATCCAGCGACCAAAATGTCCATTTAGTGTCCCCTCTGGTCAACGATTTTGTAAATGTTTTAGATTCTGATATGAATATTTTGCATCAGTGAAAAAAAATTTCTTTCTTTCTTTCTCCTTTCTTAACAAAATCTACATGAATATCAGATGAACATTAACATCAAATAAACATCCAGATGTTCACAAGAGTTAGCAAGAGAAATGAAATCTCAAAAATTTACAATTCTTTCAAGAAGAGAGGAATTTTGATCAGATTGCCTTAAAGACATTGCTAACACCATCCAACCCAGTGGATCAGTCACTTTTCGAAGATGTATCAAAATTGGTAAATACAAGTTCTGCAACCAAAAAGTTTTGCATGCGAAACGTAGGTTTTCTGAGGAAAGGATGACAGTCAGATTTTGGCAGCATTTCATTAGCCTGATTGATGCCCATAGAACTGAAAAACTATTAAATTATTTTGCAATGGCAGCATCAGATGTAACTGCTTCTTCTGATTTTCTATTAAAAGTGGTTTCACTTTCATGGATGTTAGCAATACTCTTGAGATCATTCAAACTTTGACACTTGCATTGAGTCTCCAGACCATTCTTGGAACTTATAATAAAAAAACTGTTTCTAACTTTTTCATTTCAATCCGTTTTTTCTTGCGGCTTCAATCTTATTCTTGCAACTGGTGCTTACTTGTTTCTTACGGATGCTGTATAAAACCTAATAACGCCACACTTGAACCCCGTACAAGTTTTCTCCGAGGTAGGCAAAAACAAAGGGAAAAACACACCATAGGCCCAGGCGCTGATAACGAACTTTCTCGAGAAGGAGGGGAGGGCTTTTAAAAAATTCAAAACACTTTAAAGACCCTACTTTCAGATCAATTACTGCGCAACAGGTACATTTCAGAAAAAAAAAGCAAGGTTATTAAACAATGAAGACATCCTTCAAAACAAGTACATATTGGCGCCAGGAGCCTCTTATTTTAAGGTAGATCAGCCAAAAATGGATGTCGTAAAACAATACCAAAGAAGTGACCCTTTGAGTGGTCAGGTTGTCGTGGTAGTTTCTGAAGCTAAAGCACCGAAATAAAAAGAACACGTGCATCGGACGAGAATAACGAAAAAATTTTGCACGCTGTTCAGCCCAACTATTTCCCTTGCGTTGATGAGTTACTTACATCCCTAAGCGAGAATGTCACCTCGAGATTCTTGCGGAATTGTTCTTTGAACTCTGGGTATATATCCAGCACCTCTGCGATGTCATCATACTCTATCTTGTGCAGATCGCAATAGGTCAGGGCATTCACCACGCATCTCGACTTGCCAATACTCTTGTTGTCGCAAAATGCCTCGCCGTCTCCGAAGATGTCGTCCTTGCCTGACATAAAAGTCAACATTTGATTTGAAATATTCTATTTGTCCAAACGAATTAGAAATTGTGTGTTCCGCTTTGAAATCCAACTGCAAAGACCTCAGCAAGGCAAACAAAAGCCAATCGTAATTCGGGGAATGAGTTCAACGAAATAGAAGAAGTTACTTCAAGTTACTTTTTTTTCTTCGAAACACTCGTACTGGAAAAGCGCTAACTGAAGCTTCAAAAACTCGTCTTTAGGTCACAAAATTCATTTTTATAGCGTATATAAAAGTTTTTCTCTCTAATTGCCAGCTCGACTCTCTGAAAATTTTGAGCCGGTTCCACTCGTCACAGAATAAAAACTTCCAACTGACAATTGGAAAAGAGTAACGACACAAGAAAACAGAAAAAAAATGGGTTGTTTTTAAAACTTAGGCTTTCGAATTTGAAAGAAAAAATATATTCCCTTGAATTTCTTCGAATTTTAAAAACAATTGATGCTTGGTGATTCTTAGATTAAATTGGGACAATTTGATATAACTAGATCGATAGGCAAATTTTTTATTCCACAAGGAAATCTGCTAATTAAAATCCTCTATCGAAACTAGAAGACGATGAAGTTTTTCATGACCTTTACATTTTTGCTGTTCGATAGTGGAGTTTGCCTTCCTTTTCACAATAGAAATGAAGTGAACTTCAAAAGAAATCAAAAGTCAAACCGGGAAACATCAAAAGGAACAAATTTTTAGACTTTTCCCAAAAAAGAAATGAAAAAAATCGTCCCGACCTATATAAGAGTCTGAGCTACGTTCATCGACTCTAAAAATACCACCTAATTACGACCTTCATTGATCAACACATAATGAGGCAACCATAGCTAAAATTTTATACTTAAATCAGATACGGAATTGCCTTTCTCTCCCCTTCCAGCCTAGATCAAAAAGAAAAGTTTTAAGACTAGTTTTTCTTGAAACTGATTCAGCTTATCGAAAATTCTTTCGGTAATCCGTATGAATACTAAAAAGTTCTAAGCCTGATACATCACTCAATGCCTACAGGTAGTTTATTTTTAGCACCATATTTCCGTGAAACAGTCAATAGATCAGTTCGAAAAGTGTCGAACTCGAAGAGAAAAATAACCGATTTTCAACTTCCGAGTTTCAAAGAAATAATTAATCATTTGAACGCCCTGTTCCGAACCTTTAGCAACTGACCATTTTAAGATTAAACTAACCCAATTTGAGAAAACTGAATCGATGGATAGTTTTTCATTCCGCCGAGAATACTGAAAATAATTTTTGAAATAAGGAGTCTTTCTTTTCTTTTGCATATTAATTTGAGCCAATATTCGAGCCAAATCGCAAAAATTTGAGCGTGATGATTTTTCAAGACTGTTCTTGAAAAAACCAACCTTGACACTTAATTATTCTGGCTTTAAGATTCATCCTCTTTAAATTGATGTTATTTGGTCTTTTATAGTACACGGTCGGTATCTAAAAAAGAAACAGTTAACTGACTGAGAATGGCGACGACCACTTCGTCCTCCGATATCTCCACAGATCCCCTGGCGATGAAATAGAGGGAGCTGAGCACGTCTCCCTTGTGGACCAGAGTATCCCCAGGAGGAATGTGGGTGGTCTTGAACTTGATAGACAGAGCACGCAGACAACCTGGACTGGCATCTAAAGAGAGGGATAGCAAAGAGATTTGCCGTCGAACAGTAAAAATAAATAAACAGAGGCAAAGCATAGCTTCGCATCACTTACGATACAACGCAAGCGTAAGATTGCAAGCTAGCGAACGGGTAGGATACGTAAATAACTAAAACTAACTATGTATAATAAAAAAAATTGATTTTTTTGGGAAAATGAAAAGTTCAATTTCAGAAAAATAAACGTGAAAAACGACCACCAGAATTAAGCCGACAATACCTCGAAGGACACCCTGGCAACAGGCTGCTAGACCGACCGGAACCGCCCAGAAACATGAAGGAAACGCGCTTCAGCAGGTACGAGAGGTACATCACTGCACTCCTCGAAACATCCGATTCAGAAGAAGACGACGACACGCACGTTACCGAAGAGGACTACAGAGGGCTCCTCAAAAAAGTGCACACAAATGAGGTCAAAGACGCCCTAGACAACCGGGACGAACCAGCCCCCAAACTGAGCAAGGATGAATTACGACTACCGAGAGGTACCAGACGGACCCTTGCCCAGTTGCGGAGCGGCTACTCCCCATTCCTACAAAGCTACCTACACAGACTAGATGACTCAACCCCAGAAACATGCCCACAGTGCAACTCAGAAACCCACACAACGGGTCACCTATTCAGGTGCAGCGCAAACCCGACTACAATCACCCCCACGCACTCTGGGAAAACCCGATCGAAGCAGCTGCTTTCCTGCAACTCGATACAGAAGAAGCCACAAATGAGGGACAAGAGGAGGGCCAAACTACGGGCACCTAGGCAACAACAACAACAACAACAACAAGCCGACAATACTTGGGTAGACGCCTACTGAACCAAAAACAAAATTACCATAAGAAATTTTCATAAACCGAAACCAATCAAATCGAAATAATACTTATTCAAAATTCAAGTTGGTAAATTGACGAAATAACATGATTACTGTCAATAATAGTAGAAAATTGAAAAATCCTGGAATTTCCAAAGCCAAAGGAGCCTGGTATTTGTAATGATGCAATAAAGAAGCATGTTAAATTTAAGGAAAACTGTTTTCGGGGAAAAGTTCTAGTTTTCGATTACACGACACTTTCACTGGCAAGTGTAATGTACGAACACTTGCTCTCGCAAATGTAATGAACGAACATAGGTTAGTTTTCAATATATTTGTAATTGAGCTAACACAACATAAACAACACTTGCAGAGAAACACTGAAAGATGAAAGTCATTGGATATAGCAAGCTCAGCAGCGCCTTAATTGGACGATAGCCAGTAGTAAGACAAATTTGAGAGCAGCTTCTGGAGGCAATTCCGAGTGATACCCTATCGACTGTTGGGCAACGTTAGCACGATTTTAGTATCGTTCGGGTACTATTTCGATAAACTTAGGTGGCGGGGGACACAATTGGATCGGTCCGATTGTACCCTCCATCGATTGCAAATTTCCGAATAAAGGTTCTTACTTCGGGTATTTTGGTGTAAAGGAGAGTATATTTATATTGATTAAGGACTACTAGTAGGTTACAACCATTGCTATATATTATCTATCTTCCATTTTAGATCCCGAAAACACCCTGATTTTGTCGAAAACTGCTGTCTCGACCAAACTGTTAACCCCAGTTTTTTTTGGATATCCGAGTTCTTCCCAACGGGAGGAAGCTTCTCCGCAGTGAGCTACTACGTAGTTCAAAACCTCTAACAAAACAAATCGAGCGGAAAAAGAACCAGTAGCAATTGGCAATCTAAATTTTTCGAACACATTTGTTCGTAATTTTTTCAAATTTCGTCAATATGTTTTGAGGATTGAAATTTTGATTTTTTAGAGTTGAAGCGATAAAAATTTTTGCACAACGAGCTTGCGAGCATAACAAGCTCAGTTACAAGAAAAAGTTTCAAGTAACCCTCCGGGTAGCTCCGTGGATGAAGATAGAGAAAAGAATCTGGGGGTCCAAATCCGATAGTTTTCGGCCAAACTTTTGTATCTTAACCAATTTTGGTCTGATTTTTTGCATTAATCAAGTAATTTACAGTGATACTATGTTCGTTCCAAGTGTTTTCAAGTGCTTTTAGCAAAAATTGCTTTAAAAGTCTGAGAACCCATAAAGGTAATGAAAAAAGGCCAATTTAGCAAACGCGTTTTTTTTTTAATTCTTAAAGACTACCAAACCGATCGGAATACACCTGGTACCATATCTCGACATTTTTATTCACTTTTCTGATCAGCAAGCATTTTTAGGTCATTAGTATCCGAACTGAAAAACTTTCAACCCTCCGAGCGGAAATGGAGTGTTGGGAAAAATGATGGAGTCCGCTGAGTCTGACGGTGTGACCGAGTCAGTCACGGAAGAGAGCACCGAGGACAGCCCGATTGTGCGAAACCAGCCTGCGAAGAGAGCCAAGAAAGCGAGAAGGTGACTAATTCTTAAGTGGTAAAGTCGATAGCAGCCGATGTGGTGATGTTATTGGCAAAAGTTTCACGTCCTGTCCAAAGCGGACAAAGGGATGGTGCCATGCATAGCGGCGGAGAAAAGGAAAATCAGGTACCACCAATGTTGTTAGTAGGACTGATTTCGACAGCTTCACAATCGAGAAATAATGAATGAACATGACGGACACCAGACTGGAGATGGAGGTCATCATCCAATGTGGATCAGATGGGCTGGAAGATTACAAACCCTCCCGGACGAATATAGCGAAGATGAAGTTGGAGAGACAATTCGACGTGCTCGAGTATAGCCGTATCACGGTGCCTGAGTCAGTGCACATAGGTGATCCTGCTGGTGGTTATGAAGAGATGCTGAAAGCGAGGAACTCGGCGGGAGAGCACGCTATGGCATGACATGACAAACAGACTATGCAGGAATACCTGAAAGAGTTGATGACGGATTCCAACCTGAAGAAAAAGAAGTATGGCACCATGATGTCCTCGGAGGTGAACGAGGACGGCCTAGAACAGCTTGTGTCAAGATTTCAAGGGAACGGCCCTCCAGAAAAAGTTCGATGACACCATGAACACGCCGTCGACGGTAACTGCGTATCTCTGTGTGAGAATAAACTCGCAGATAAGGCTGATATGGTGCCTAGTCGGGATAAGGAAGCAAGAGTACGAAGCCACCATTGAAACCAAATCAAGGGAGCAACACTTGGAGCTCATGGAAGCTCTGAAAGTGTTAATCGCCAGGGATGACTCCGCGATAGCCTGGTACGCACTTTGAAAATAGCCCGGTACACACAAACGAAAATACGCACTTTGCTCCGTGAGGTTTGTTGTGGATCGTATCCCTACTCCGGTGTTTGAGGAATGCGTGAAAGGTATTAGGCAAAGAGAGGCAAAACGTGAAGAATTCATGTTGAGGGCCTTGTTGGAACTTTATCAATATATGCCACTTAAGATCCCTACAAAGGAGCTGAACGACCCAAATTTGAATGCGGGTCAGATATGAGACGTCACCGCAGATAGCGAACTACAAGAAAGTGATGACAAGAGCTTGCACAATTTGGCAATAATTCAATCAAAGTAATTCAGGCTGTTAGCGTTGAACGTGAAGAAACAGAATGAGAAGCTACCCGCAAAGCCATCGGAGGAACATCTCCCAAGTGATTGAATGGAAAAAGGCACCTGCGTGGCCACTAGTTGTGGACTGGGAGAGCACGAGTGTAGAACGGTCAGTGTTTGGAAACACTGGGCGAACAACATTGTCAATTAGCGAAGCTATACGGAAGATTGCCTATGTCAGACAGGAGTGAAATGGAATTAGTTGCAGATTGCCACGGGGTTCCTGAGGTGAACCTGGTAACTGCCTTGTGATTCTATAGCATGACGAGCTAGATAGAATAGCCGAAACGTCTCGAATAGGCACTCGAGCTAGTAACCGCCCTGAGCGTGGAATTGTTCCGGGATCATTGCAGACCGAACAGAAGATAGGAGGTTGGCGAGAAGCTCTCGAAAATGAAATGAGCCTGAAACTTAGCAAAGGATACCACAAAACCGTTGGCTCAAAGTACCTAGTGAGATCCAGTTCGGCACCGTATTGCAACAGCAAGTATCCCACGCACATGGTGGTGATGGATGTGAGGACGCATCACAGGTTGATCGATCAGCTCATTTCAATACCCAAGTGCGTGCGACTAGCAAAGATGTCTGAGAAATCCTACGAATTGTTGACGAAGATCATTCGGGCAGTCCCTGAGAGGTCTAGAGACGAGTTGAAAGAGCTACTAGGGGAAAAATTGTAAAATTGCGCGATAGAAACGTCAGTCATTTCCAGAAGAAGCAAGCGAGTGGAGCAAGGGTAAACAATTTCCGCATGATCGACGAAAAGGACGAGATGCATCAAATGATGGAGATAGAGCAACTGCTAAAAGCATCGGGTTACCGGACCTGGAGAAAAATTCTTTGGACTCATGGGGAGTACCCTTTTCACTGCCTGGCGCAGACGTTCTGGTACTCTAAGAGGGCAAATTTAGTGTTGGCGTGGGAAGCTGGTGTGGGAAAATAGCCTGGTACGCATCTACGGAAGTCTCTTATCGTGACACCAAGACACGATAGGGTGCTTAAGAAGAATATGGGAACGGAAGGTCCAGTGGGACATTCGGAATCGCGCCAAACCCTCCCGTGCAACAAAAATGAAGAGATAACGACGTCATCTCCGGGAGAGAACGGAGTCATAGGTCCAGCGCCAAGAGACTGTTAGAAAACTTTAACGATATTTTAGCTGCTGTAACGCCCTGAACGTAATTAATTTAATCCGATATTGATTTAGTATTTCAGAGCATGATCAGTTAGAGTCGAGGAAATAGTCAATCCATCTCTAATAGATTTAGTATATAACCGTCAGTGAAAACATATCTGATGGTGGTTTTCTAGCCTTGTTTTTAGTAGTAATCACCTTGTCTGGGGATCCCAGACCCATATGTGTGGTTATTATCGCAAGCAAACGAAAGCTGATCAAAAGTGGTTTGGCTGATGGCCTAAACATGATAACTTTAAGTTA